TTTTCTTCCTATTTTACATTATCAATTATTCATTCTAATCATTGGTACATTTTAGGTATACAATATAATGACATTCATCATTGGAAATTTGCACCTTTACATAGTCTCTCTTGGTTCTTATTTTTCACCCTTGCCCAGGCCCCCCTTCAACCCCTCCAGTCCTCCCTATTTACAAAGATTTTGTTCCTATTTTTACATTTTCTCCTATTAATCCCATTCCCTTCTATCCTTTCCCCTAGCCCTCCCACTTCCTTCCCCTTTGCCCCTTTTCTTCCTATTTCACATTACCTATTATACATTTAGTCGTTATTTACACTTTCAGTTTCTCACACCAGAGAAACTATTTGGTATTTATTCATGTGTGTCCTATTTATTTCACTTAAGAGTATTGCCTCAATGTGCATCCACTTAGCTATAAATGTCTCTAATTTCTCATTTTTTATGGCTGAGTAGTACTCCATTTTATAAAAAAACCACGTTTTCTTTATCCAGTCTCCAGTTGATGGGCATTTGGGCTGTTTCCAAGTTTTAGCTATCACAAACTGTGCTGCTATGAACATGGGTGCACATATATCACTGTGGTATGATTCTTTTAATTCTTTGGGGAAGATCCCCAGCAGTGGAATAGCGGGGTCAAATGGGACTTCCAGTCCTAGTTCTTTGAGGTATTGGAGGCAGCTTGTTTGGGCCCTCTTCATTTCTCTCCTGGAGCAATGGTTCTGATTTTTTCCTCTGGGGTGATTCCTGGAACTTATCATCTGATCCTGCTTCCCTGTGGGCTGGCCTTGGTAAGGAAGGTTAGATAAGGGCAGATCTCTGCCTCCTCAGGTGGCTACTAGAGAACTGCTTTTTCTTGTACTTTTTGCTGTCTTTCCTTTGTTCCTGACTCTCCAGGCAGAGCTGATTTCTCTTTCCCTTTTGTTTTGGGCTCAGCTCTTGCCGCAGATGTTTTTCAGTATGCCACCAGACAAGGCTATACCCATGCAGGTCAGGTCTGGACCATATTCAGCCATAAGTCAATGTAAGGAAATTGGTCTGGATGCCTCAGCTGTCCTTCATCCCCATTCACCACCTGATATATATGCCCACTGTTCCCCTAGCTATTGTCTCTTGCCCCGCCATCCAACATCAAAGGAAGATCAACTAATTTCACAAAGAGTTCTCAACTTCTAGGGTTTCAGCTTTATTCCACAGTCCCCCATGTAGCCTTTCTTAAAGTTTTTCCACATAAACTCTAATGGGGTGGGTTTCGATGCTTTCCCTCCCTATTCTCTCTGTTATGGTGCCAGTCAGTCTCTCAATCACTTTTGCTTTAGGCCAATTAGACTGTCTCCCTCCTGGGAGTTTTCAGGCACTGCTTACCAATCAGAAGATTTGTATAAGCCTGAACTTGGACTTCACAATTTATCTGCCATTTGTGGGGTGCCTCCATAAGCCTTATGCAGATCACCACTAGTCCCAGCCTGTCCCACACTTGGTCAGTCTACGCTAAGAGAACCATGGCCCCATACACTTTACTCCATTTATCTACACACAGTCACACAACTTCCTGTTTTTGGTTCCTCTTCCCAACTTGGGTGTAGGTTTTGTCCAAACTTGCCTGGGTTGGATTACATAGAAGACCTCTTGCACGCCATTCTCACTGCTGGTCACACCTGAGTTTCTGACTTGGGTTTGTAGGTTTTTGTCTGACTTAATCCAAGCCAGACTATTCAGTAACCCTGGCAGGTAATCAAGCTCCCCTTCCATCCTTATAGGATGGGTCCTGCCTTGGGCCCCCAAACCCTACTTTGGTCCTATAGTGCACTGTTCCAGAATCATCCTGTAGCCCCTCAGGTTCCATTGCTCTGACAGGGGTGGATACCAGGGTGCAGGAGAGATGATTCCCTCTTAGAGTTTAAGTCTCTCCTGGTGGTGCCAGGAGTCTTGAGGTCTCCCCCAACTCAGGGTCCCCAGGCCTGCAGGCAAAGACTGCAGCAAGACTGTTGTCTCCAGTCCCTTCATGGTTGCCAGGGAATGTTGTAGAATAAGAGACCAGAAGGACCAATGGGTGGGTGAAACAGGAGGATTTATTTAGGTGCACACCAGCTTATGGATTCACATCCAAAGGCTTAGCCAAACAAAGAAAAGGGCTCTAGTTTTACACATGTGGTCAAAGGGGTCAGTCTACCTAGTGGCACCAAACTGGTGGGTGGGCAAGTGGGTTTTCAGAAGCAGGACAAAGGCAGTTAATCAAGTAGTGATAGTTTTTTTTTTTTTTTGGTACCCAGAATCAAACTCAGGACTTTGCACTTTTGAGGCAGACTTGGTACCGCTGAGCTAAATCCCCAGCCCAAGTAATGATAGTTTTGCAACTTAGCATATCTTGGTGGAAAAAAACCAAAACAAAACAGGATCTTATAAAAGTGAGGGGTCATAAAATCTTACAGGAACAAAATTACTATTTTATTAGTAATACAACAAGAAACAACAGCCATAGAGAGGGGGGAAGTCTGAGGGGGAACTGCTTAAGGTTGGGAAGACTTGGTTTTTTTTTTTTTAAGTTCTGCTTCACACTGTCACACCCTCCACAAAGTCTATTCTGTTCAGCACTTTGGATAAGGAAGGAGAAGCAATGCCATGTGTGGAGTGAAGGACAGAGGGAGCTGGCATGGAGTTCTCAGTGTTCTGTGACTAGCAGAGGCATCTGTCTCTCTGGAAACCCTCATGCACCTGCTGAGCTTCCTGTCTGGGTAGGAAAAGATCCAAGCTATTTTATTTGGGTATTAAAAAAATAACTTCAGCTCATTGGAGTTATCTCAAAATTGCACCAATTTGATTTCTTGTAACAATGACAACAAAATTAAGATCCTTCAGCTACTTATTTAGTCGTCCTTGTGCTTGTAGAATGAATCATCATCTTGGAGGCGGAAAGACCTTGAACTGGCTACTTATTTCTTTGTCTAAGTAGGATAGTCCATATATTTCAGGGAGATGATTTAAATTTTGTTGTTGTTGAATTTTAAAACAATCCATAGACCTCTGCACACTCTCAGTGTCATTAATTTATGTTCTGTGAATCATATCTGTTAACATTCAAGTCCGGTAGTTCTCAGATTTTTTTCCCACCAAGTCATATGTGAGTTTCTTCTCTGACTTACTTCTTTTCCCGTCGTTTTTTTTTTTTCTAACCTAGAAAATTGCTAAATCTCTACAGAGATTCTCAGCTGGATCCCACACAATAACTTTCCTTGGTAGTCTCAGTGAGTGAGCAAGTAATAATTCAACATAACATTCTAAACAAAGGAAGGGCATGAAATACTTACCGAAGAGAATTTAAAGGTATGGAATGATTAATTGTGGTGTCACTAAAAGCGTGCTAATCTATTAGATGGGAAGAGAACCTTTTCTACTGTGGTCAATTCTGTTACCCACTTGAGAAACTGCTTGAAGATTTTTGAGACAGGGTCTTATTATGTATTTCAGGCTGGCCTTGAACTCACTATGTAGCCCAGGCTGGGTGCAAACTCGAAGCAATCCTCCTGCCTCAGCCTCCTGAGTGCTGGGATTACAAGCATGTGCCACTGTACCTGGATATTAATTTTTGGCTTTAAATTGAGTTTTAAAAACTGTAATAGATTAATTTGAAGTAAAACTTTGCATTATCATTGGAAACAAAAAACTCACAATAAATAGAAAGTGAAACAAAAATAAATTCATCAGAAAGAAAACAATGTAAATGTATCACAGCTAGTAGTCTTTTCTTGGAAGTGGTTTCCTGTGAGGTACTAAAGACAGAGTAGCATAGAACTGAGGTTTAAAGATAGTCAGATGTCTGAGAGAAAACTAAGAAGAAAGTTACTTTCTCACATAGTGAGTTTGAAGTTTTTAATGTCACCCTGCTCTCTTTTGGAGGCTGGGAACAAAATTGCACAACTTCCCTTATCTGTCTCTCACGAGGGCCCTGTTTTACTCACTCCTTCTGTCTCCATGCCTGTGATTTCCTCAAAAACAGTGGCTTGTCTTCGTGGATTTTCCTGTAATAATCACAGACATCTCCCCCTCTCTCCAAAGATGGGAACTTGAGGAAACCACCTGATTTCTGGACGCCTAACCAAGCAGTATGGCTCTTTCAGCCAGCTGGCCGGAGGTGGTTTTGTAATTTCCAGAGTCCTGGATTGGAATTTAACTGAGTGTGCTCAGCTCATTTCATCAGACACTCAATGAGTTTGGATGTCAGAAGGGAAACAAACTGAACACTGCTCTGGCAAATGGAAGCCAAGTTTCCTGGGCATCTGTTACCAAAACACCAGAGAGCCAGTTGCTCCTGGCCCTGGGTGGAGACACTGACTATCTTTATCAGATAGAGGGTTGGTCCTGTGGAGAAAGGGGAAGGGAGAGAAAAAGGAAAAAATGGGAGAGGAAAGGGAAAGGGAAAAGGAAACAAAAAGGAAAAGGAAAGGCAAGGCCAAGCCAGGGTACTGGGAGCTGGGCCTGCCTTATGGGGTATCCCTTTCCCAGCGGTAGGGTAGAGCAGTGAGGACCACAAATGGGGGAGATCCTGGTGGGGCAGCTCCAGGAAACAGTCAAGCCATGGAGGTGACCAGAAAGTTTCCCAGGAGGGCTTTGAAGTTGTGATCCTCCTGCCTCAGCCTCTAGCGGAGAGGTGGTGACTCTCTGCCATGTGCCACAGCAGGTACGTAAAGCCCTCTCTGTCAGCACGCAAGCCAAGTGTATGAGTTTTTTCTAAACTAAAACCTCAGTATTCAGGTTTAATTGCAGTGTTGGTGCTTTGTGATAAATACTGTGAGTAGGTTTGGGTTGCAGTTTGGGTGCTCGGTCTCTAGAAAGTTGGCCATTACTGCTCTAGAGTAAGTAGCAGGGGTTACAGATGTGCACCATGACATCCAGCTCTTTTGTGGCTTTCTGATCTGCCCCAGAAATTTAATTCCTAAAGTAAAAGAATCCCAGGAGCAATCCACCATTCCAGGATTACTGTGGAAATTGGTGTCAGGACCCACCTTGCAATTTGAGCTTCTAAGAAAATAAAAAGTCTGCCAAGCCTTGAAGAGAAGATTCAGGAAAGATGCTCTGATCAGAAGGAAGCAGGCGCTGCGGGAAGGGCAGTCACTGAAAGGAAAAAAGACACATAGAAAAAAAGTGTAATTCTATAATTTAGTTGAAATAAAAGCCTAATTAGTTACTTCATTGAAATAAAAGCCTCATGGTAATTTAAAATTTTCTAGAAGCCACATTAGTAAAACTGAAAACAACCAGGTGAAATTAATTTTAATAATATATTTCATTTAGCTCAATATGTTCAAAATATTATTTCAATGTCATAAATATAAAATTTATTAAGGAAATATTTTCCATTCATTATTTTCATAGTAAGCCCTTGAAATCTGGTTGTACTAACTATAGGCCAAATGCTCAATAGCCACATATTAGATACAATTTCTCGGCCTTGGATACTTTGGTACAAACGTGCTCTTGGTGTGGTCAGAAGGGACTCTGTCCCCTGGTAGGAGTGTGACCTGGTGGCAACCTCTGAAAAGGAAAGCCATTTGACAGTATGTGTCAACAGCTTGTGAAAAGTGTGGGGTTAGTAACTACCCCTTCTAGAAATCAGCCTTTTGAAAAGAATAGGAGGCTCTCACAGGTTCTTTTCTTTTTTTCCACAAGGGAGTTCAGAGTTTGTAGCTCCCACCCAGGCCATGAATGGATAAACACAGAGTATAGTTGGCCAATAGAGTACTAATCAACAATAAATGTGAATGAAAAACTAATACAACACAAATGCAATAAATCACAGGTATTAGGCTGAGAAAAATCAGACACACACAAAAATGGAACATAGTATATGATTCTATGCATAGGATTCAGAAAATCAGATCTAAACATTGGATCCATGGTTTCCTGGGGTAGGGTATAGATGGAAATGGGGGAGATATTGGCTGCAAAGAGGAATAGGGAAAGTTATAGAAACATAGAAATGGTCTATATCTTGAGTGGAATGCTATCTACATAGATATATAGATTATATCTATATAGATTATATCTATATAGATTATATATCACATGTCATATATATATATATATATCATGTGTGAAATCATTAAGACTGACTACAGTGGACTCAAACTTGAAGTCAATAATAAAAAGGTGTCAATAATAATAATAATAATAATAATAATAATAATAATAAAAAGGTGTCTTAAAAAAAATCCCCAAATTCACAAGTCAAAGAAAGAATAAAAATGGAAATTAGCAATGTTTTGAATTGTGTGATAATGAAAATACAACATATCAACATTTGTGGGATACAATTAAGGGAGTCATAGAAGCACGTAGCCTTATATGTGTATATTAGCAAAGAAAAGCAATAATTAAATGTTGCTTTTATCATTGTAAATTTATTATTAATCATAGATGTTTACTCTTGTTCATAAATATCTTCTGAAAAGGTTTTTAAAGAATATGTGAAATTTCAACATGTAGATAGTGGAAATCCGTATCAATTGTGATTATTGAGCTACAGGACTATACAGATGATTTCTATTACTTTGGTTTGGGGAGACATAGGTCAAACTGCCTAAAATAAGGCAAAGACCAACTAAATGAGGTGAACTTGGCCCCTAGATTGGAGGGGGGTTCTGTGTCTGCTGGAAGCCTGGGAAAGGCAAGTGGGGCGGGCCCAAGGCTTCACCACTGACCCACTTTCAATGCAGCTGTCACTGCACACAGCGAGGTCACCTGCACACATGACTTCCTAGAAGGGAGAACAACTGAGACCCATGGGCGGAGAGCAACTCTTTCTATTTCTGTCCCCTAATCCGGGGGAGGCCCCAGAGAAACCACAGACACACACATTCAATGTCACTTTCTGACAAGGGACTTACCCTAGGCTTTTGTCTTTCCTCTCCATTATCCCAGAGCTCCCTGAAAAATGTGCATTCCTCAAGCCTGCAATGCCAAGATAAAAAACCATTCTACAAAGATGTTCTCCAGGTGTCTTTTCTATGTTTTACTAACTTGGCCTATATAGTTAGTCACTGCGGAAAATTTGTGAAATGAAAAAAAAAAAGCTTACAAGAAAAAAAATAAGTCACCTATCACTCTCAGACAATAATCACTATTACATTTTGATTTTGGGGCATTTCATTCAGCTTTCACCTCTGTGCATGTATGTGGATACTGGCATTTCACACATTTGGCATCACCACACGTTTTTGTTGCATCCTGACTGTTAGCTCTCGTTTCTTTATAACTGCCAGGACTCTCTGTTGAGCTGCAGAGCCTGGCTTCCAATCAACCTGGCTTCTTTATAAAACAGAATGCTTTGCATTACATGGTTTTCCTTTTATTATACAGAAATACTCATTGGCCATGCTTCTGTTTTAAAGCTTTGCACCTGAGCCATTCCTTGTACCCAACAGGGATTCCGAGATGCCAAATGGTAGCACCTTCCTTGGCTGACCCTGCCTGCCAAACCACCACAGCAAACCCAGGTGACTTGCTCAGCAGCCTCTACCAACTGTCAAGTCACACAACAATGTTCTACCTTCCACGTGACCCTTCTAGCTGCCAGGGGGTGGGCAGGGGTTGGCACCATGGAAAAGTCTCCACGGTGCTGCAGCCTTATTCATTTTGCAGAGATCCTCTGAGCTCTTGCTCACTGCCAGCCCTGGTCTGCATGGAGGACTCAACAGGGCACAGATGACAACAGCTAACACAGAGTAAGCACTTTGGCAGGGCTCCTGCACTAACCTAGTGCTTTACACATACTGTCACCCTGCATGAGCAGTACAAAAAGCAGGATGACCTCAGGATTAACTGCATGATCTTCAGAGAAATCACTGGCTGAGTTCAAGCCTAATCACTAACAAGTGAGAAAGAGGCTCCTGCATGTGGACCCTCAGGTAAACAGACTGGTTGTTAGTGTTTTTCAGGCTGCCAGGGACAGGGATGCACCAAAGTGATCTCTGTTTTCAAGGCTTATTAGAAGGAACACTTGTTATAAGAACCACTACTCACTAGCAAGTGAGCCAGTCTCTGTGCCTTGATTTTCTCACAGTGAGAATCCCTGCCACACTATGTTGCTAGAGGGATAAAGAGAGTGAAGTGCACAAAGTGCTTAGATGAGGAGGGGTGCATAGTAGATTCTCAGTAATTTGTCTTCTATCATCTCCATCCTTACCACTACCCTAGGTAGCAGAGGTCATTGTAACAGTCAGTTTACAAATGTGGAAACCAAGACACGCCAAAGTTAAACACTTCCATGTCCACACAGAGTTTACAGGTGAGTAGGGGAAGGGGACTCAGAATGAGGAATTCCAGTGTGGTGAGGGTGTAATAGCCTGGTGAGTCTGGCACTCTTTTGAGGGCTTCCTTGGGATCCAGTCACCATGATCAGAGGTATCTGCTCTAAGGCAGTCCTCCGAAATGGCAGGTAATAGGGAGATATGGCTAGAGCCATATCCCTTCTCTTTTAGGGAGTTTGACTTTGAAACAGCCAGAGGGATAACTCAGAGAACATGAGTAGTGGTCTTCCCAGCCACCTTTGTTCCACAAATCCTCATATTCAACCTCATGAGCAGAGATAACCACAGTGTGGCCTTGCTTCCTGCATCCTGGAAAACATTGGCAAATAGCCCATTTGGTAGGATCTTGTTATGGCTTGTGTCTAGATGTCCCCCCAAGCCTCATGCGATCCTAAGTGGAGCTTTTCAGAGGTGGTTGGATCTAGAGTATGTGATGCTGGGATTAAGTGTGTGATGCTGGGATCTAGGGTGTGTGAATACTAAATTAGTCCACTGATTGGTTTAGGACAGTTCTGGGTGTGAATAATGGGAAAGCCCACCTGGTGTGAATGATACCTGCCCTAAGGTCTTGTAGCCTGGATAGAATGTAAGGGACAGAAACAAGACTGCTGCTCATTTCTTACTGCTGTTGCTGCTTGCTGCCTTTTGCCTGCCCTGCTTTGCCATGGACTGTTTCTCCTCTGTGACACCCTTCTGCCATGCCACCTGCCTTGGGGCCACCAACTATGAACTGAAACCTCTACAAACTGTGATCTACAATAACCTTTCCTCCTTTAACTTTGGGTGTTGAGTATTTTGTCTCAGCAACAAGAAAAATAACTAAGACAGACCTTCATTCTGTGCAAGATCATCCAGCAATGCTTGAGTCAGCCTGCCTAGAACATGACTACTAAGTTTGACTCCCAGTTAAAGCAGACAGAATGTGGCCCCCATCCCATCCAATGAGGGCTGGGTGGAGAAGAGAAACCTTGAGAAAATCATTTCCCATCATCCACACTGAATTCATGATTTCACTCTTTTCTTAGACACGCAATTGTTGGGAACCATCATTCTTTCTTTTTTAAATATGCATCTTTCAAAATAAATGACACAACTTCCTGCAAATGGGGTGTTGCAATACCATCAGATAAGATTTCAAAAGGATCTGACTCCTATTCCAAAAACATTCTTTAGCAATGAAGCAGAGGCTAACTTAGAGTTTTAACCCAAAGCTGGTTTTTATAAGCAGTGAGCAGGCCATTCTGCAAGAGTTTCTGCTCAGGATAATTTCTACATATAGGTTGGAAGCAAATGTAAACCAAAACCATGCCAGGGGCTTTGGAATCTGGCCCAGTCCATCTGCTTCTGCCCCTGCCCTGCCTCTACCCCCAAGCTCTTTTCCTTTCTTGAGATGTGAGTTCCCAAACATCCTGCTGCTCAGGAACCTTGGTAGCCACAGGAAAAGGCCAATGCTGTTATATATACAGAGAAGTCTGGCTTGTGAGGTATGATTCTACTGACCATAGGACAGCTTTCAGAGACCTTCCCACCACTTTCTTAAAGACCAACACAGTGGTAGAAATACACTGTTGATTAAATAGCTCAGGTGTCCTGCCTAGGGACCTGCATGCCTTGCTTTGGCTCATGAGATGGGAATAGAAATGGACTTGGTCACTTGGGCAGGCAGTTTTAGGCATCAGTGCAGAATTCATCAGTACACAACTCTCTTTTTCTTCTGGTACTAGGGCGAGCACCATGTGAGGCAGTGGCTGCTCCATCAGCCCAGGGTCATAAGTGACTACATGCAGACTGCACGCAGCCTCTTGC